CATACCAACTTTTCTGGAAGAGATCCATAGTCTAGCCCGGAGAGGACTTTTGGGGTGTGCCCACAATATACAAAGTAAAGTCTGTGGGCCAAGCCCAGCCTACGGCCTGTTTGTGAAAACAAGGATTATTGGGAACAGGGTCACACATATAACCTATGGCCAGTGGCAGCCTTTCAGCTATAAAGGCCAAACTGAGTAGTTACAACAAAGACCATTAGGGGTGGAAAATATCCACTCTCTGGCCATCTATGAGAGATTGACAAACTCTGAGTCTGAAGAAAGAGGTGCAGTGTGAGCTCTCGACCGCACGTCGCACCAGTGTAAATAAGCTGCAGGGCTCACACAGACTCTCGCAAGATAACGGCCACTAATATTTTATTTAGGCCTTACCATGTGCAGGTATCATACTAAGAGACTGAAGTGTATTATCTCCTAAGACTAATTCTCATTGCAACACAGTGCATAGGTTCTGATTGCTGCAGCTAAAACAGGTCAGCTGTTCGCCAGGGGCAAAATGTGGGTGTGAAATACGGCGGACCCAGTCAGCCAAGGAGCTAGTTCAGAGGGTTAGAGTTCAATCTTCAGTACTGCCTGGCATCCTGGGCACCACTGTCTGCTGAGAAGGCTGCCCCCCCCCCCGCCCCCAAGAACACCTCTGGTAACTGCATTTGTATCCAGTCTGTGGTAAAGCTTCCATGCAAAGATCTTTCCAGCCATGGAAGGTCCGAGTAGAGCCCCTTCAGCACTGCTGTTACAAGTTCATCTCCTCACCATCCTCCGAACACCATTTGCACAACCCCACTTCCTTGACACGCCTATAGGCTGTTCTTTCTATCTTGAATGTCCACTACGTCTTCAAATCTTACCTAAGACGTTTAGTCCACTATTTATTTATTTATTTATTTATTGCTTTTTGGGTCACACCCAGTGATGCACAGGGGTTACTCCTGGCTCATGCACTCAGGAATTACACGTGGCGGTGCTTGGGGGACCATATGGGATGCCGGGGATTGAACCTGGGTTGGTCGCATGCAAGAAAAATGCTGTACTATCGCTCAGACCCCCTTGCCCACTTTGTTTTAGTTTGGAGGCCACACTTGGCCATGCTCGGTAGACTGAAGGATGCCAGAGATTGAATTGGGGTCAGTCACATACAAGCCACAAACACCCTAGTGAACCCGGCAGTGAGAACTCTGCTAAGCTCTGAGTTAAACTATCTTTCTCCGCAGGCTTCTCCTTGACCTAGTTAGTTCTCTTCTTCTCTCTCTAAACAATGGACCAACCACTGCAGGGCACAGGCTGCTCTTCACAGCAGAGCCTTTCGTGCATGGCCTGGGTATGCTGCACGGGTAACAGATACACACACTTTCTCAAAATCTTAAGGCATCTTAGAGATGGGACGCTGGTTAAGGTACAAGTGCAGTTGACCCCAGTTCCATCTCCAGCACTACAAGGGGCGCTGAGCATCACTAGAGACCCTGAGGGACCACCACGGTGGCCCAGGTAATCCCAGTACCACAGGCCCCGAGCAGCACCGGCAGTACTGCAGTGGCCTAGCTGTTGCTACCGCATCTATGAACCAACACCAAATCTTGGCGTGAAAATAGCTGGACTCACGAGTACTTCCTGGAGAGAGGGAATGACACTTGGAGCTATGATTTCTGGGAGGTAGAGTACTTGCCTTGTGAATTAAATTCCCAGCATGGCAAAAATTAAATGCTGAAAAGGATAAAACACCAACAGCTATAACTGAACTTCTATTAGCAACAAATACTGACTCAGGGAAAAAAAAAATCAAAGCACTTCATGATGCAAATGAAATAAAGATCTCCTGAAACATCATAGTGGTTACTTGATCCGAAGGGATGAAAAAAGGCAAAACAAAAAACTCTCTGGGAAGGGTTGGAAACACAGTATAGCAGGCAGGGTGACACGTTGCTTACCCTGCACTCAGCCAACCCAGATTCAATACCCTGTACCCCAGAGGATCCCCATAGCACTGCCAGGGCTCATCCCTGAGTGTAGAGTCAGTAGTAATATTTGAGCATTGCCAGGTATAGCCCCAAACCAAGATAAACAAATATATATATACATCCCCAAGTACCCAACCCTTTGGGTGGTGAAGCACTTAGCCATCTTCAGACGCTGTTAAAATGAAGAATCGGTTCTACATAAAAAGTCACTGCTTTGCTTATAGCTGTAAGCAGAGGGACTTCCTCCCTCCGCCCCTCCCTCCCTTGCTCCCTTCCTTCGTGATGCTGGGATTAGAACCGGGGTTGCAGCCACAGCCAGAGGCATGTGAGGCAAGTGCCTTTACTTTGGTACTCTCTCTAGCCCTGTCTTAGTGTTCCTTCCCTCCACAAATTCACCAATAGAAATTCTTTCTTTTGGAGGGAGGTCACACCCGGTGATGCACAGGAGTTACTCCTGGCTCGGCACTCAGGAATTACTCCTGGCGGTGCTCAGGGGACCATATGGGGTGCTGGGAATTGAACCCGGGTCGGCCGCATGCAAGGCAAACGCCCTACCCGCTGTGCGATCAGCCCCACTGGCTGAAATTCTATTGCCAATATGCCACTATCAGAAGAATGACTGGAGCCTTCGGGAGGTCCTTAGGTCATGAAGTGGAGCTCTCACGTATGGTACAGTCCCCTTATCATCAAAGAGACCCCAGAGTGCTCCCTCACTCCCCTCATGTGAGGAAATCTGTGAAGACTCTTACTAGCACCTAAGTGGAGGCACCCTGCTTTCCGATTTCCAGCAACCAGAACTTCAACAAAAAAATGTATGTGGTTTATAAGCTACAGGATCCAGAGTAATTTGTTACAGAAGCCCCCTAATAGACTAAGACAACTCATTAAGGTGGGTCAAGCAAGCACCAGGTCAAACACTCTAAATAGACAGGCTCATAAAACCATCACAACAACCCTAATTTTATCTCTGCTCTAGAGATAAGAAAACTATAACTTGGAGAAGTTAAGAAACCTATCCAAGCTTATAGAATCTCAGTGAGCAGGGCAAGCATTTAACTCAAGCAGAGCCAAATTCCAGCATCCATGCTTATTTGTTTGGGGTTTTGGAGTCACATCAGTACTCAGTACTCATGGGGTCACCTGGGGGTGCTGGGTGGGGTGGGGGGGGGTGATGGGGGCATATATGGTGCTAGGGATCAAATAGGAGTTGGCCACATACAAGGCCAAGTGCCTTAACCGCTGTGCTACCTCTCTGGCTCCAGAACTCATGTTCTTGACTATGATGCCAGTCATGCCTTGGGTAGCTATGTATCCAGGGATGGGTTTCCAGTTTGGAGTGTTTAACTCTGCTGCCTGCAGAGATCCATGCTTACATGGACGAGGAGTGAGAGTCTATATCTACCATCTTTCAACCTGGTCTTTTCCTACTTTGGGAAGTCCAAACCCAAACACTTGACAGACCTGAAGCAACGGTCAGCCCAGATTAGATCAAAAGGTCAGCAGTCTTCCTTTCTCTCCCATTACCAAAGATGGGTTGCGTTTTAACAAAATATTTGCTCATCCCACACTCCTTGAGCAAGCAAAAGCGATACCTCACTATATTAGCCAAACAAATTTTAAACAAAGTTCCCAGAATGTTACTCTTAGAACAGTCAGTGACAGTATTCTGCACGTAGACCTTTGTTTGTTTTATTTGTGGGGGGGTGGGGGGGGCACACCCAGTTGTAATTCCTGGCCTTGAGCTCAGGGACGGGGCTAAAGGAATGTATGTGGTACTGGAGATTGAACTGGGGTGAGTCACATGCAAGGCAAGTGCCCTACAGACTATATATACTAATACTCCAGGCCCTGAATTTAGATCTTATGAAAGGTGAAGCTGCTTGCCTATGTTACTTTTTAAGAATTTAAGTGGAGGGACAACTACATGTATGTTAATATCTGGTTGATTTCATCCTTTCTCTTTCTTTTGAATAAAAGTAATTGGATGAATTTCTCCCACCCTCTACCCCACCAGCCATGACATCTGAGACTATCTGATAGGAATTGATATTGGGGGTAGGGTGTGGGGAATCCAGCAATATTCCTTAAAGTAATTTTAAGGTTCTAGCTGTTGTTCATTGATTTGCTCGAGCAGGCCCAGTAAGGTCTCCATTGTGAGACTTTCATCACGGGTAGCTTGCCAGGCTTTGCCGTGTGGGCGAGATACTCTCGGTAGCTTGCGGGCTCTCCGAGAGGGGCGGAGGAATTGAACTCGGGTAGGCCAGGTCGGCTGCATGCAAGGCAAATGCCCTACCTGCTGGGCTATAGCTCCAGCCCTGACAGTGGACAGTGCTATAGTGCTGGTATGGTCAGTTAAGTTAGTCAAGTTCGGTTCTAGTTTAAATGACTGAATTTGTAGCAAGGGACCCTTTTTCAGATAAGCTGACTTCTTTACATGTAAGTTTTTGTTTTCTGTTTTTTTTTTTTTTTTTTTTTTCTTTCCTGGAACTGGCACTGTTAAGCTCGACTGCAAGGTGCTTGCAGTGCCGCCGGCTTCCCAGGGTCACTGTCCCAAACTGCAGTTGCCAGGGACTCGAGGTTCTCAGTCAAAGCTCCGGAATAAGCTTCTTCCAAAGTGCCACTCCTGAGCAAGATCAATCAGAGCCCTTCCCAGGCCCGGTGGCAATGTCACCGGGTGCCGGGGACACTGTCCCTGACCTCCCGGCCGCCTGTGCCCAGATGCAGGGTGACCGACGCGGGTGCCGCGGCGAGGGGGTCTCGCGTGTCTCGCGTCGGCCGGTGGCCCCGGGGGGAGGGGGGGAGGGACCGGCCCCTGGGGCACGCGGGGCCCCGCTGACCTCAACTCCGCTCTTTAAAAATAGCAGCTGCGCGGCGGCGGCGGCGGCGGCGCTCACGTGAGCCGCTTCCCCCGCGGCCGGGCCGGGCCGGGCCGGGCGGCGTCCCCGGGTCGCGGGGCGCGACGGGCGGCGCCCCCGAGCGAGCGGCGGGGGTCCCCGGGCCGGCGGGCCGGCCGGGGGTCGCGCTCACCTTCTTCACCGACTGCGAGATGTTCTCCAGGATCCGGTCCTTCACCTCCCGCGGCTCCATGGCGCCGCCGCCGCCGCCGCGCCGCCGCCGCTTCCCGCGCCGGGGCCCCGGGGCCGCCGCCAACCGCTGCCGCCGGCCGTGCGGGGGCTCCGTGGTGCCGGCCGCGGGGCCCGGCGCCCGCCGCCCGGCCCTCGCCTCGCCTCGCCTCGCCCGGCCCCGGCTCGCCGCCCGCCGCCCTCGCCGCGCGGCCGGGAAGGAGGCCGCGGGCCGCGCGCCCGCAGGAACTGATGTCAGGCGGGGCGGCGCCAAGGCGGCGGGCGGCCGCGCCCCGCTTCCCCGACGCCGCCGGCCCGACCCGAGACGGCACCCACGGACACGCCGGCACGCGCGCACACGCGCGGCGACACACGCACCGACGCGCGCGCGCACGCTCAGACACGCGCGCACACCCAACGCACGCGCACTCGTACACTCACGTACTCACACACGCGTGTACACAACCATCACACTCGACGCACATGCACACTCACCCTCATACCCACGTGCTCACACACACATACACCCAGCCATGGACACATGCTCGCAGATACACGCGATCACACTCAACGCACGCATGCTCATACCCTCATACCCACGTGCTCACACACATACACCCAGCCATGGACACATGCTCACACATACACAGCGATCGCACTCAACGCACGCATGCTCATACCCTCATACCCACGTGCTCACACACATACACCCAGCCATGGACACATGCTCACACATACACAGCAATCGCACTCAACGCACGCATGCTCATACCCTCATACCCATGTGCTCACACACATACACCCAGCCATGGACACATGCTCACACATACACAGCGATCGCACTCAACGCACGCATGCTCATACCCTCATACCCATGTGCTCACACACACATACACCCATCCATGGACACATGCTCACACATACACAGCAATCGCACTCAACGCACGCATGCTCATACCCTCATACCCACGTGCTCACACACATACAGCCAGCCATGGACACATGCTCACACATACACAGCGATCGCACTCAACGCACGCATGCTCATACCCTCATACCCACGTGCTCACACACATACACCCAGCCATGGACACATGCTCACACATACACAGCAATCGCACTCAACGCACGCATGCTCATACCCTCATACCCATGTGCTCACACACATACACCCAGCCATGGACACATGCTCACACATACACAGCGATCGCACTCAACGCACGCATGCTCATACCCTCATACCCATGTGCTCACACACACATACACCCATCCATGGACACATGCTCACACATACACAGCAATCGCACTCAACGCACGCATGCTCATACCCTCATACCCACGTGCTCACACACATACAGCCAGCCATGGACACATGCTCACACATACACAGCGATGGCACTCAACGCGCGCATGCTCATACCCTCATACCCACATGCTCACACATATACACCCATCCATGGACACATGCTCACACATACACAACGATCACACTCAATGCACGCATGCTCATACCCTCATACCCATGTGCTCACACACACATACACCCAGCCATGGACACATGCTTGCAGATACACGCGATCACACTCAACGCACGCATGCTCATACCCTCATACCCACATGCTCACACACACATACACCCAGCCATGGACACATGCTCACACATACACAATGATCGCACTCAACGCACGCATGCTCATACCCTTATACCCACGTGCTCACACACACATACACCCAGCCATGGACACATGCTCACACATACACAACGATCACACTCAACGCATGCATGCTCATACCCTCATACCCATGTGCTCACACACACATACACCCATCCATGGACACATGCTCACACATACACAGCAATCGCACTCAACGCACACATGCTCATACCCTGATACCCATGTGCTCACACACATACAGCCAGCCATGGACACATGCTCACACATACACAACGATCACACTCAACGCACGCATGCTCATACCCTTATACCCACGTGCTCACACACACATACACCCATCCATGGACACATGCTCACACATAAACAGCAATCGCACTCAACGCACGCATGCTCATACCCTGATACCCATGTGCTCACACACATACACCCATCCATGGACACATGCTCACACATACACAGCAATCACACTCAACGCACGCATGCTCATACCCTCATACCCATGTGCTCACACACATACAGCCAGCCATGGACACATGCTCACACATACACAGCGACCGCACTCAACGCACGCACTCAACGCACGCATGCTCATACCCTCATACCCACATGCTCACACACATACACCCAGCCATGGACACATGCTCACACATACACAACGATCACACTCAACGCACGCATGCTCATACCCTCATACCCACGTGCTCACACACATACACCCAGCCATGGACACATGCTCACACATACACAGCGATCGCACTCAATGCACGCATGCTCATACCCTCATACACATATGCTCACACACACATACAACCAGCCATGGACACATGCTCACACATACACAGCGATCACACTCAATGCATGCATGTTCATACCCTCATACCCACATGCTCACACACATACACCCAGCCATGGACACATGCTCACACATACACAACGATCACACTCAACGCACGCATGCTCATACCCTCATACACATGTGCTCACACACACATACACCCATCCATGGACACATGGTCACACATACACAGCGATCGCACTCAACGCACGCATGCTCATACCCTCATACACATATGCTCACACACACATACAACCAGCCATGGACACATGCTCACACATACACAGCGATCACACTCAATGCATGCATGTTCATACACTCATACCCATGTGCTCACACACACATACAGCTAGCCATGGACGCATGCTCACACAGACACAGGGATCACACTCAATGGACGCATGCTCATACTCTCATACCCACATGCTCACACACACATACACCCATACATATACACATGCTCACACACATATACACTCAGACATATACACATGCTCACACACAGACACAACAATCACACACTCAACGCATGCACTGTACACACATGCTCATGCAGTCACATGCTCACACACATACACCCACATCTACACACGCTCACATACACATTCACCTACACAACACACACATGCACGCACCCTCAACACACTCACATACACAGTGCTCACACACACCCAATGCATGCATGCACCTCAGCATACTCACGTGCTTGCACCACACGTGCTCACATATACACACGTTCATACAGATACACATATTCAATGCATGCACACACATCCACTCATACCCATGTGCTCGTGCACACATGCTCACACGCATACACCCATACATACACATGCTCATACATACACTCAACACACACATCCACTCATATGCACATGCTTGCACACACATACACCCACACAATACACACATTCATACATGAGTACCAGGGATCGAACCTGGATTAGCCACATGCAAGACAAGTGCCTGCCCTATTGCTGTGCTATCTCTCCAGCCCCACACAAGCCCTAAGAGCTATCTCCCAGCCCAATTTTGTTTTTGGTTTTTGGGTTGTTATGCCATGCCCAGTGTCTCTCAGGGACTACACCCAGTTCTTGCTCTGGGGCTACACCTGGTTGTGCATAAAGGACCATGAGGAGCACGGGCTTGAACTGGGGTTGGGCACATGTAAGTCAAGTGCCTTAACCACCATACTGTCTCTCTAGCCCTCTGTTTTATTCTCATTTGACTGGATAAAGGACAAAATTATATGCCAAGAAAAGGAAAGAGATGAGCGAGAAACTGGGATTGCTATATTCTACCTCAGGATCTAGGATGATAATGATCTCTCTCTCTCTCTCTCTCTCTCTCTCTCTCTCTCTCTCACACACACACACACACACACATCAGTGACGATGATGAGACTTGAGCCTCTATGAGCCATTTATGGGTCAGTTTTACATCTTTGTCTCATGTACTCTCACACAACAGTTCTTGTGTAAGTAAGAGGCAGTCACAGGGAGATTTTTAAAAATTTTTTAAATTGAATATCTGTGATAGACCATTACAATGGTGTTCATAATTGAGTTTCAGTCATACAATGGTCCAGCTCCCATCCCTCCACCAGTGTACATTTCCCACCACCAATGTCCCCCGTTTCCCTACCATCATCCCCCAACATCCCGCCCCCCACCCCCAGCCTCCCTCCATGGGAGGCACTTTCCTTTTTGCTCTTTCTCTCCTTTTCCTTTTGTGTATTATGGTTTTAATACAGGTGCTAAGAGGTCATGATGTTTGTTCAGGGCATTCAGAATTTTTATCAGATCGTAAGGTTGGAGTAGCTTTTCAATTGGGTGGCAGCTTTGGGGTGTGGATGTAACTGCCGAGGCTTCTGAAGTACATGGAAGTTGGGGGAGGTAGCCCATCGCGAACCCTGAGAAAGCCTGGAGATTTCAGTCACAAAACTACTTACCAGAATTTTCAGCAGAATATGTCTTGGTAATGTCCGTCTTGAGATGGTGGAGACAAGCCAGGGTTATGGTAGCGATTTTGGATTGTGGGAGCAAGTGGCTGCCAGGGGCTCTGCTTGGACCAGGCCAACCTGGCCCCCTCCAGTTTACTCTGTTCTGTTTAGTCATGCATGAGTCCAAGATTAACTGCGACTTTTGATCTTTTTTTTGAGATTTATCTTTGGGTCTCTAAAATAAGGCTGATAAATGAGCTTGTATAGCTGAGCCGGAGGTGGTTTGTGGGCATGACTCCCACACACCTAACTTTTGGCTGTTTAATTTCTTGGTAAGCTCGGCCCCAAGTTGTTGGGATCTAGTCAAAGGCAAAACAGCAATTTTGGGGTGTCAGGAAGTCTGAAGGCACCATTAGGCTGCTGATGCACTCACCCCGCAGGTTCAGGTTGACCTGCTAGCAGCATCATACCCCCATGTTCTAATTGTTTAGAAAAAGAGGCTAGTCTTTTTGTATTTTTTGTGGGGGGAGAGCACACCAGATGGTGCTTAGGGTTGCTGCTAGCTTTGTGCTCAGGAATTAATCATGGAAGTGCTCAGGAGACCATAGGTGGTGCCAGGGATTGAACCCAGGTCGGCCATGTGCAAGTCAATCACCTTACCCTCTGTTCTATCTCTCTGGTTCCCAAAAAGCTAGTCTTGGAGGAGAAAGAAATAAATTGAGTGGTGGTAGTGGGAGGGGAGGAGATAGACAAAAAGCAACAGCTGGCAAGGGCCAAGGGGATTCAGGTACACAGTGGTGTTAAGGAAGGATAGAGTTAAATATTCAAACCAGAGTCAACAACGCTGAAATCATGAGACCCAAACTTTAACAACCTCA